AAATTATAGAAACAATACTGTTCTATATGAGTGACCAATTATACTTTCTTTGGCCTACATTCTTTATTCTGCAGTGAAGCTGAGGCTTATAAGTCAAAACAAAGGAACTTAACTTGCTATCCACCAGTTTATACAGAACTTACAGTATCTATGACTTTTTTAAACTAAGATCTGTTAAAAAAAAAAGAAAGAATACTGAATGACACTTTAAAAGTCATAAAAGCTATGCAAATGAATAAATAACATGATGAAAGTGGGAAAAAAAAAAAAAGATGTTGGGGAGATGGATGGCTCAGTGGAATAAGTGCTCCCCTGGCAAGCGCAAAGGCCTGAGTTCAATCCCCGGTTCCACCAAAAAAAAAAAAAAAAGATGTTTCAACAGATGACCATGTACAATACCATGTTGTGAAAACTCAGACTTAATAAATGACAAACTTGTTTAAAAAAAAAAAGAAAAGAAAAGAAAAATATTGAGCTCAAATAAACAACTAAATGTTGAACCTCAAGCTACTAGAAAAAGAACAGCAAGGAAACACAAAGGAAATCATAAAGATGGAAGATAAAGTAATGCAATTGATACTAAGAAAACAATTAAAAAAAAAAAAAAATGAGGGCCAGCCAGATAGCTCAGTGGACTAAAGCACCTGCTTAGTTAGGCAGGCACAGGACCAGAGTTCAATCCTGCAGTGCCATGCCAGCCCCACTCCCAGGGCATGCTGAGACAGCAATTGTGACTGGGCGTGGTGCTGCATGCCTATAATCCCAGTGCTTGGGAGGCTAAAAACAGGATCACTACAAATCTGATCTGTGTAGTGAGACCCTGTAGACCCTGCATTAAATACATTTTTAAAAAATTAATCAAAGAATTGGTTCTTTGGGGCTGGTGAGATGGCTCAGTGGTCTAAAGCACCTACTTAGAACAAGCTTAGCAAAGCCCAGGGACCGCGATTCAATCCCCCAGCACCGCATGCCAGCCAGCCCGCCCCCTGGTGGGCTGAGCTGGCCACACACACACACACACACACACACACAAATAAATAAAATTTTTAAAAAAGAAAAAATTGGTTCTTTGAAAGATTATATAGCGTCGCCATTTTAGCGTTTTGTCGGAAGCGTCCGCGCCGCGAGGAAGAAGCCCTGCAGATTTCCGTGCGGCTGGGTCGAGATGGTGAAGCTGTTCATTGGAAACCTGCCC